TGGTAAAAACGGTCTTTTATTTTGTCCGTACCTACAGATGTCCCACAAAAACATCATTCAAATGGTTTCGAAAGCGGTCGAAATGGATATTTTCGTTGAAATACGATGCCCGTTATGTTTTGCGATTACTATACTTATTTACTTCGCACAACGAAGTAAAACGGTCAGTAATTAAATAATAAAACTGATGAAAGATATACATTTCGCAGATATTTTCAATCATATTTTCCATATGTCTGACTTATAGATATCTGACTTTTTACGATGCAAATTTACACAGTGCATCAACAACGTGTTAAAACTTAACTCATAAAAAGCCAGATATTTAGTTTATATGTGTTTATACTGAAGTATATGCTAAAACCTTCACTGAAAATAACGATTAATGATTATATTTGCTGAATTATTTAATAATAATAGTTTTATTGCTGGTAACTACTGATACATCCTTAGTGATTGATTTTCTGGTTTATAGATATTTTCAGTTTTAGCAAATAAGCTTTTGCTAATGGAGCTTTTAAGATACTAATATGCTAATAGAACTTTTAAGATACGGAAAGCAACTACAGATTATTTCGAATTTTATTTATAAAATCAGATTTCAGTAATACAATTGAATTACTGCTAAAGCTTTACTAATTAGAGACGATAAATATTACTTCGGGAATTATTTGTATTCCATATTAGTGATGTACTGTGATACTCTATTAACATAGTAATGAACCATCTTACTTTACCCAAAGAGTTACGTTTTTAAGAATGTTTTTCAATCTTACTCTCTAGAATTTTGATTTGATAGTAAAGTTTTAGGCTTATTTAAATATTATTTATTATTTTTTGAATAATTGACTAAACATGATACAAGTTTAATTATTTATAAAGGAAAATATTTATTACTGCATAGATTTTTACATATATTCATTTTTAAAGACATAGACGTTTTACTTACGCAGATGTAAGCTTTTTGAATATTATTTTACTGCCTGTAATATTATTTGTCTGAATTGCTGAAATGCAATCAAAATGGTGCTTTTAAGTAAGATTTTGCTCCAAGAAAGAGAATAAACTTCAAAGAACTCTAAATCTGCTGAGTGAGGAATTTTTATTTTCACTTATTTTTTTTATTTTATTACCTTAGGCACGACACGGACAGAGAGGGATTCTCCGTGGAGGTCTTTTTAAGAGAAACGGGCTCGTATCCACGTTAAAACCCCCAAAACACCCATGCAGCCAGCCTATTCACCTGCACTCAAACCCCGGAACGAACCCGGAACGTGTTCAGCAGTTTCTACTGCTCGGCCGCTGGTGGGCAACGGAATGGTTAATGGAATTTATTTATACACATACTGCAACATATCAAAATCCTTCTGTCTTCTATTTAAATTTTTTAAGCTTCTTTTGAATTAATGTTACCAAAGAAAAATAAAAAATGTGCTCTTCAGAAGATTCTTCGAGTTAAAATAATGAAGCGTCAGGATGTTAATTTTACAAGGAACATTTTATGACATTTTTCAGGTTATAATTGTATTTGTAAAAAACACTCATTTCCGCATCGACATGTTTCAGCAAAATAATACAGTTTCTTATTCCAGAAACACTGCTATTGAATATTTTCAAGAAATTAAATTATCTGTAACATATGTAAGAGACGCTATAACATTTATCAAGTCACTGCAAGAAGTCAAGCACTTAAAATTTAAAAAGTGAAATGAAACAACATTCATCCTTATATTAGTTATGGTTTGGTTCAGCAGGATTTCAAAAGCCATTGTAAACGATCTCTCTGCTTTCAAGTGCAAAATTATTCTATTCATAATATATATATATTACACTATACTAAGAAAACATATACATTATAGTGCACTAATACGACTATTTTGCACATCATCCTTTTATTAGCAATCAATTATCAAGTGAAAGAACAATAAACTGGAACAAAAATAATGAAAAGCATGCAATTAAAAAAACATTCTCTGTATGAAACAAATATACAAAATTACATAATTCTAATTTTAGTAACTTTTATGCATGCTTTATTTTCCTGTGGTATTAAAGTTTATCTGCTGCAGTTAAATTTCATGAAGTATTTATAACCCAAACATTTAGCATACATATATAGGTCTTTTTTCGTTTGTTCTTTTTTCGTTTGTTAAATTATATATATACATACATATACATTAACCAAACATAACCGGAAAAGAAAGCCAAAATGTAAAAGATATTAAAATGTAAATACAGAACCAATTATTAATAATATCATTATGCTTAAAATTTAGTATAATGTATTAGGGTTTTCGTAACTTTAAAACTAAATCAATATAATTATTCAGCCATCCCTTTCCAAATGAATGTGGAGTAAACCGTAAGAGTAATTGATGTCATAGTAATTTATTTTGATATTCGAATAAAAACTTTGCAAATATCTTCTATCCCTTTACCCAGATCTTCATTCATAACTTATCAATGCACACACTAAATAATATTGGAACATGCAAAATTAATATAAATTTACTTTTGAAAATCAATTGTAAATCTAAAATATAAATGAATAGCTACTAACCATTTCTATGCTACAATATTGTCAAAATGATAAATATTTCATATTTGTTTATATACGACAATATTCAAGATAAACCACTGAAAGGCAAGAATTTAGTATCCAAAACAAAACTCCATGCTACACTGAACTAATCATTAAATAATGTATCATCAGTTAAAAGGAATAATGAATTATTTTCCATTCTTAAATTTCGATTTCAGGTGAGTCATCGCCGAAGACAAAACTTCAACTGCCAAAGGGGAACGCTCTTTCACAAGAGTAAGCCATGCTTCGGTAGTATTCAGCTCTTCAAAATTGTCGGAAATATAACTAATGGCAGCATTTTTGAGCATAATATCGTTATGCATGTCCCCTAAAATTAATATCTCAACAGCTGTGGAAGTGCAGAGAGACGAAATTATAAACTGGCTACACTTATCTTTCAGCTGCAACACAGCGTACTTGTCGGATGCGGAATATAGGTCTCGTGCCATGGGATAAGAAAGCTCGTTTATGAGTCCGGTATACATAAATGATACCAGCTGATCCAACACAACGGCATCGATGTCGGGTATAATCATTCTGTTCTCTGCTGTCTCATTCATTGGATGTTGCAACATGCTTGCGAAAACTGGAGATCTGGCCGAAAGAACACACTTATGAACGTGAAATTTTTCTGAGCCACACATTAGTGTGTAGTCTGAATGGTGATTTTCTTCGTACATTGTTTGCATATCCCGAGATAAGCTGGTTAAAGAATTCGTGTCAATTGTTGCTATGGGCTTGCCTTTTACATTTAAAATATCGAAATCACTATCAGTTTGCACTTCCTTTTCATTTATATTCGTTTTTTCATCAGAAGGTTCCATTTCAGTTACCTGAAAATGAATTTCTACAGAATTACGTGCGTGAAAATCATCTAAATTAGGATAAATTGGAAGGAATATGAAAGGGCATAGCTTGTCCATAGAAGCTTCAAAGATTCTTTGGGGTTCTTCATTTATGATTAGATAGCCTTTTAGCTTAAGTGGTAGCCCAGGATATCGTCTCCGTAGACATAAACGGTCCCTTATTTCTTCACCATCTAGACAAATGGTAAGATGCCACTCATTTGATGGCCCAAACTTTCTACTGGATTTCTCGGAGAACCGGCCACAGCCAGGTAACCAAGTAAAATTTAATTGATATTGCCTCATGCCAAATTTTTAACTTAGAAGACTCTAAAATGCTCTATAGGTTTTCCCTATATTAATCGATTTCGTGAATTTAATCAAAGTCTCTTTAGCAGAAATAAATTCACATGACGAGGAACGGTAGATCTCGGCAACCATACTATAAGAACTGCAGTGATGAATTTAATACATATATTTTGTTGAACGTAAATCTTCGAGACTCATATCACTTCAGCAACAGCTTTCAAAATTCACGGAAAGTGCTGTTTTTATCACTTATCAGACGTCTTATCCAAAGCTATTCAGCGTACCCATGGAAACATATCTAGTAAAACGAAACGAAACTTCAGTATCAGTGATAAACTGAAGTAGTGAGGATATGTATCTTATATTAATAAATAGACTTAAATATTCTTTACCGCAAATACATATTTTTTTCCTCTGTGTAATGGATTTTATTTAAATACTTTACTGTACACGCAACACTGCAAAATATGCTCTTCAACGGCACGTAATTTTTAAAAGCTTTTGAATAACTTTGTTTATATAAGCAGAGAACGTCGCGGAAATTTTTAACAAACCTTTTATAATTTAGCGTTTATTAACAAGGTCAATCATTAATACATCACAAAAGAATTTCTTATTCATTTTATTATTACTTTGAAAAATTAATTTATTTAGAACGATTAATTATTCAGTTATGGAAAACACACGAGGGCTATCTGCCTAAAGGGAGGATGCCTTCGTGGAGGACTTTCTAAAGAAAACTGGCTCGTATATACGTTACACATACGGAAAACCACGAAAACTCCCATGCAGCCAGCCCGTTCGCGGGATTCGAATGTCGGTCCGAACTACCAGTGTTCAGCGCCTTTACCGCTCGGCTGCTGGTGGAATCTTATTTAAAACCTCTTATTCTTTATATATATACATAATAATATTATTATGTAAGCAAAACGAAAATCAAAGACAAAAATAAATTAAAATAAAATAGAAAACCAATGCATAATAGTATTATGTTTAAAATATAGTAAAGTATTATGTTTTTTATCGTTATGTGAATTTAAATAATGTACTATAAATAACGCAAATTATTATGACAAATTATATCTTTTCAAATGATTGAATAGTAAACCTTTAGAGTAACATATCTCAGCAATTTTAAGTTGATTTTTTAACGAAAATTGTACAAAATTCTTCAATCCATTAATGCAATATCTTATTTGTAACATCCATTAAATAACATGCTAAATAATATTGAAAGTTTCATGCAAATTAAAAAAAAATTATTTTCTGAAAATCAATAGTTCATTTATAAAAATGTATCAACAGTTTTTTACATAAAAACTAAATGTATAACTACTAACCATTTTAGGGAATAATATTGTCAAGATGACTCTTTTGTTCTTTAAGATAAACCATTACATGTATTTTGGACATGTAAAAGTATTCAATAGAAAGCACTGGAGAGCAAAATTGTAGTATATAGAATAGCATTCAACAGCACACTGAATGAATTATTAAAAAGCCTTAATTAATTATTACGTAAACAATTAATTAGATTCTGTTCTGAAATTCCGATTTGGCTTGAGTCACTGCCGAAGATAAAACTTCAATTGCCAAAGGGGAACGCTCTTTTACAAGCGTAAGCCATGCTTCGGTAGTATTCAGCTCATCAAAATTGTCGGAAATATAACTAGTGGCAGCATTTTTGAGCATAATATCGTTATGCATGTCCCCTAAAATTAATACCTCAACAGCTGTCGAAGTACAGAGCGACGAAATTAGAAACTCGCTGCACTTATCTTTCAGCTGCAGAACAGCGTACTGGTCGGATGCAGAATACAGGTCTCGTGCCATGGGATAAGAAAGCTCGTTTATGCGTCCAGTATACATGAACAGGACAAGCTGATCCAACACAAGGGCATCGATGTTGGGGATAATCATTCTCTTTTCTGCTCTTTCAGTCATAGCATGTTGGAACATGCTTGCAAAAACTGGAGATCTGGCTGAAAGAATGCACTTATGAACTTGAATCTTGTTGGAGCCACAGATTAGTGTGAAGTCGGATTGATGTCTTTTTTGGTACATTGTCTGCATATCCCGTGATAAAAGGGATAAAGAGGTCACATCAGGCATCGTGGGGAGTTTGTCTGATTCATCTAGCATATCGAAATCGGTATCAGTCTGCCCAACTTTTACATTTACATCAGTTTCTTCCTCGGAAGATTTCCTTTCGGTCACTTGGAAATCAATTGTAACATAAGAATCTCTCTGAATCACAAGCCTATTATAAAGTATTGGAAGAAAAACGAAAGTGCTTAGCTGGTCCATAGAAGCTTCGAAATTTATGAAGCCTTGTGATTTTGTAATTAGGTAACCTTCTAACTGGATTTTTAACCCACCCCTTTGTCTGCATAGACATAAGCGTTTTCTTCGCTGGCTTAGTGTCGCATCCGGACGAAAGGAAAGATTCCACGCATTTGAGGGCCCAAATTTGCTGCTGAATTCCAATCCTTCCCAGCCAAAAGGTACGTACCAATGAAAATGCAAGTTATAATTCCTCATTCCTATTTCACACAACTTACAAGTCTAAAATGAGATGCAAGAAGTCAAAGTCAACAGAAACTCCCGTTTTTGTTATTTATCAGATATCTTATCTAAAGCTATCCACTGTAACCATGGAAACGAATCTAATAAAGCAAAACGACATTATCACAATCATTTCGGTATCAGTGATAAACTAAATTAGTAATGAAATATACCTTATATTAAAAAAGTCATAAATATTCATTACTGGATAAAAACACATGATTGTTGAAATATTTTTCTGCATAATGAATTTAATTAATTTTCCTACTATTCACGCAGCAATAATAAAATGAAATCTTTAACTGCTGATAATTTCTGAAGCACTCTTACATACGTACTTTAGCTAAGTAAAAAAATATTGGATTGTTTTAAAGTACCTCATGTATAATTTATATTTAATTAAATCAATGAGTCATTAACATAGCATAAAAGAATTTCTTAGAAATTTTATTTACCTTTTTTCATACTTATTACTATTAAAAATTAATTTAATTAGACGAAAAACATACAGTAACCATAATTTATGAAATTTTGCATGCAAAATTTTCTTACCTATAAGGTTCTTATATATCTATGCACATATTTCATCAAAATAAAATAATTTTTCTTTTATTGCATGCTTTTTTTAACGCAACTTCTCAATTTCTGTGTTAATCTCTGGGATACTTATTTATAATTGTACGCTGAAAAATAAACGAAACGAAATTTGCAAAGCCTTCTCATAATTGTGTTTAAATGTTTATTTTAAATTATTCAAGACTCAAAGCTAAATTGATAATGCCTTTCGATATGAACATTTTTCCCAAGGAGCACATGACATAGCAAAGACGTTACCACAACCACTTTGCAACCTCTCGGACTAGTTTGCAACGTCTTTGCTACATCATGTGCTACTTGCATATGATAATCAATTTTAAAAAAAAATGTGTTAAATATTTTAGGAATTTTAATTCATTCATTAAGCCATTGTAGCTTTGGGAAATGCAGAAGAAAGGCACGCACATTCAAATTTTTATTTTAAGCAACACACAATATTAGATTAGATACAACTTCATGCATTATGTATTTCGAAAGCAAATGAAAAGTGCAAAATATTCTACCGCCAATATATTTATTATAATTTTTCAGCTAGTGAATTTATTTGTAGAATGTAACACTATTTAAATATATAATTATTAAAAAAAGAAAATATCACAAATTTTTCAGCTAGTGAATTTATTAAGAATATAACATTGTTTATTTATATAATTATTAAAAAACAAAATATTATAATTTTATTTCTCTAGGATATGAATAACTAATTTATAATAACTGATATAAAAGGTAATTGTTATATACTTTCACTAGTAAGAAACTGGACATTTTAAAAAAGGACACTTAAAGGTTTAAAATAATTTGTTAATTAATTCTGTGAAAGACTTTTTATTTCGAAACAGAAGAAACTTCGTTCGGGTTTACACATACACGTGCGTCTACTATACGAAAACAACGCATTCACAATGCAAATATCTTCACCGGAATCTTATTCAACTTAATGTTTGGTTTGGTTTATTTGGTAATACCAGACACTAGACCGTGAATCTCGGAATGCCTGCTATTGTTAGCTGGGCGAGCTCAATATACGTAGGTGAGAGGAATAGAAAGTAAAGGTTCCGGAATTGTTTCCAACGGAAATAATTAGATAGTGGAATGGCTTTCAATGGGTACTAGGGAAAAAATGGATAAGCTCACTGACTTATTCCGGAACCATGGAAGGAGTTTCACTGCTTATTTTTATCCTCCATGTTTTATTGAACATTTTGTTTAAGGACAGATTAATTTTTATCAATTTATGAAAAATTTATTAAATTTATGAAACAAAACAAAAAAAAAATATTTCGTAGAGAAATACGAGTTTGCAATGTAAAATTGTATGTTTATTTAAAATTTGCTTAAAGGCATAACGTTTTGGCGCAATTACATAAATTTGTTTATTCGAACAAAATTTAATATTTATCAGAACTCTTATTACGGTAAAGTAACAGAGTATTACATGAAGTTACAATAGATAACTAAAGTTTTTATTTACTTAAGATATTGTAGAAAATTGTAACTGTAAAAAAAGGGGGGCAGACAATCACGAAACGCTAGCTACGCTCACAAAGTAGGAGCTAGTTTCATAGTAGGCGCTCAATCCCGGAACGACTGAAATTCCCTATACTCAAAATCCGTTTTCCTTTCTCCTCTTAGCTCATCCCTACAAATCTTCGACTCTTCCAACAAACAATAGAATTCGTTCCGGGATTGAGCGCCTACTATACCAAACCAGCCGAGGGCTGTCCACCTAAAGGAATGGATACCTTCGTGGAGGACTTTCTAAGGAAAACTAGCTCACATACACGCCACATATAGGAAAATCGCGAAAATGCATATACAGCCAGCTCGATCGCGAGATTCGAACAGCCAACTCGATCGCGAGATTCCTCATGCCGAACTACCCAGTGTTCAGCGGCTTTACCGCTCTGCAGCTGATGACTCTTTCTCTTAAAACATTCGGGTACACCCTGCACAAAAAATGGGACATTTCTATGTCTCACAATCTACTAGGCTGACTCACAGAATTTAATTTGCATCTTTCATGTCTCTAAAGCGCGAATTCGGATATGAATATTAAATAGACATTCAGCATTGTTGTAAAATAAGCGTTTTAATACAAAATCGAGATTTTCTGAAGAAACCATAATAATTGTTTTCCATATTTCGATTCTACGAATCAAATTATGCAAAAGTTCCAAGTTTTGTAAAAATCGCAGGAAGAGTTTCTTAAAAATCAGCTCTCAAAGGTTTAGCTCCTCAATATTAATTGAATTTTGCATATATTTATTAATATCTCTTTTTTTTTTTTTTACTAAACTTACTTGATTCCCTCTTTCAGAGGCCGAAATTAGGTTCAATCCAAATAAAATTCGTAGATATAATCGGATTAATTATTTTAATTTGTATTTGTTAGTTACTTTTACAAATTTTTCGAAAACGTTTTGAATTATAACCTATCAATTTATACCATCATATTAAAGTAGATTCATTTCTAGAAATATCAGCAAAAAGTTACAGTTTTGTATTAAAAATTTCACAAGATATATGTGATTTTTATATGGCGCGTTCCGAAGTTTGGTATGGTTTTTATAAGCGATAATAACGCTAAATGTGGTTTTTGCATTTTGTTAAAGGTTTTTGAAAGAAAAAACCATGCACCTTTTTTTCCGCTGTCGCACATTGAAAGGGAAGGCAAAACTGGAATTCAAAAGACACTGGTAAAGAATGTTTCTTCTTCAAGGTGCACAATTATCCTATTCATAATATATATGGTATTATACTATACTAAATATACACATACCTTATACGTTACTCATATACGTTATTAGCATATTATCCGTTATTAGCAATTTATTTTCAAGTGAAAGCAAAATTTATACTTCTGAAAAAACTCATTATTTAAATAATATAATTAAAAATGCAAGAGTAATAAAACACATTCATTAATTGAAACAAATTTATAAAAATCCCTATTTTCTAATTTTATTTACTTTTATGCATATTTTATTTTCCTCTGGTTTTAATGTTTATCTGGGGCCCACCAGCGGCCAAGCGGTAAAGTCGCTGAACACTGGTAGTTTGGTCCGTAGTTCCAATCCCACGAACGGGCTGGTTGCATGGGTGTTTTCGCGTAACGTGTATACGAGCCAGTTTCCCTTAGAACGTCCTCCTTGAAAGCATCCCTCCCCTTAGGCTGATAGCCCTAGTGTGCTTTGCCATAATTAAATTGCAATTAATATTCATTAAGTATTATGCAAACATTTAGCATGTATATATATATATATATACATCAACCAAACATAAATGGAAAAGAAAGCCAAAATATTAAGAAATTAAAGTATAAACACAAAATCAATTATAAAAAGTATCATGCTTAAAATCTCGTATAAATTATTATATATTTCATACCTTTTAATAAGCACCCTTTTTCAAATGAAAGTGCAGTGAAATCTGAGATTAATTAATATCATAGTAATTTATGTTGATTTGCGAGTAAAAGGGGTGCAAAAATTTCTATTCAAAGGGATAGAATAAAGAACGTTTGATTTAAAACTGTCATCATTGCACATACTAAATAATATTGGAAGTTTCAAGCAAATTAATGTAAATTTACTTTTAAAAATCAATTGTAAACTTATATAAAAATAAATGAATAGCTACTAACCATTTCTAGGCTACGATATCGTCAAGATGGTAAACCATTTCATATTTTTTTATATATGAGGAAATTCAAGATAAACCATTTAAAAGCAAATATTTAGAATATCGAAAAAAAACTGCGTACTACACTGAACTAATCATTAAAAAATATGATCTGAATGAAATCAAAAAATGAATTATTTCGTATTCTGAAGTATCCATTTCAGTTGAATCATCGCCGAATGCAAAACTTCGATTGCCAAAGTAGAACTCTCTTTTACAAGATTAAGCCATGCTTTGGTAATATTCAGATCTCCAAAATTGTCGTAAATAAAACCTAACAGCAGCGTTTCTTATCCGAATATTGTTATTCGTGTTCCCTAATGTTAATATCTCAACAGCTGTCGAAGTGGAGCTCGACGAAATTAAAAGTTCGGTACACTTATCTTTCAGCTGTAACACAGCGTACTTGTCAGATGCAGAATACAGGTCTCGTGCCATGGGACAAGAAAGCTCGCTTATGCATCCAGTATACATGAATAATACGAGCTGATCCAACACATTGCCATCGATATCAGGAATGGTTATTGCGTTATCAGTTGTTTTAGTAATAGAATGTTGGAACATACGTCCAAAAACTGGAGACCTGGCTGAAAGAATGCATTTATGACCTCGAATCTTGCTGGAGCCACAGATTAGTGTGAAGTCGGATTGATTCCCATTTTCGTACAGTGCATGCATATCCCGTGATAAACTGGATAAAGCAAGCACGTCTATTCTGTACGGTACACATTCGATACCTTCTTCATCTGAAGCATTTAATTCAGTAGCGTGAAAATGAATTACTACGTAAGGATGTTCGTTAGTCATAAGCCTAGTATAAGATACTGGAAGACCAATTCTAGTGCATAAATGGCTTAGTTGGTCTGGAAAACATATGACTTCTGATTTGGTAATTAGATGGCCTTTTAGAGTTACATTTGACCTACACTTTTCTCTGTGTAGTCATAAATTGTGAAAGCGCTCCGAAAAGGAAAGATTCCAGTCATCTGAAGGCCCGAATCTTCTAGATACCAGTGTTTCGTTGTTGAAAGAACCGTCCCAGCGAAACACCTCATACCTATTTCGCGTAACTTAACGAGTCTCTGAAATGACACGTAATTTTCCCCAGATAATTTAGATATCGCCAACTTAATCGAAGACTACCTTGCAGAAATATATTCTCACGATCAGGAACTGTACATGGCAGCTATGAGCTTATACGAACTGCGAAAATGAACAAATATATTCTTTGTATAGAAACGAAATCTCCCGGCTGAGGTTGCCGCAGATTTTTCAACAACTTATTTCAATGCCAACAGTACAGGGCATTAACGGAAACGTCTGTGTATATCAAATGTCGCACGTCTTATCTAAAGCATTTCGGCATTCCCATGGAAACGAATCTAATAAAACGAAATGAAACTCCAGTATCAGCGAGTGATAAACTAAAGTAGTGATGATATACGTCGTATGTTAATAAATAATCCATAATACGTAATTAGATGAGAACATTTAAAGAATTTTATTGTCTTCTTTCTTTTGCGTACGTTTCGTGAAATTGTACACATTTTAGGCATCTACTGTTACAGTGGCAGAGTTTCCGTGAGTGCCCATACCGTTTGCCTGATGGCACTGCACCGGTCCGGTATCGATTTATAAGTTTCAAATGCAACTTTTAAACCTCTGATGCTTCACAGTCTGTAAATTCTTTTCCCTTTTACGGGCCTTTTCAAGTCAACTTGGAAAACCAGAACATTTATTAAATTGCAATTTCTTACGGATGTAAATTCCTAACTTCTAAAGCAGGTATGTTTTTTACTGATCCGTTCCTTTTGGATTAATTCCGGATTAGTGTTGTTAGGTAGCTTTTTAATAACACTTTTTATGGGTTTCTCTCAGTTCGGCTTGAAGCTGTAAAACTGCATTCTCGTAATTTGGACATATTTAGTGAGGAAACGGTAATGATACATTTCTTAAAGCCTTATAGTTAATGATCCGACTTTCATATTTGTGCGGTATTTTTTGATATCATTATTCTCCTTTTCTTCTTTAATTGCTTGCCAGTTTGCACTACAACCATTCATGATGATTTACTATTCGCGCAGCACCGAAAAATTATATATAAAGCTTTTTAAATTGGCGAGCGAGACAGTTCTAGCAATTTCTGGAAAGCAAAAAGAGTAGAACTACGGTTGCAGCTAACCATAGTAGTCAATTACTTTTATTCAAATTAAATATAAATTAACGAGATATGCTTTTATTCAATGCTAAATGCACGTGCTTTTGTATTTTAAATTTTCCAGCGTAGCTTTAATTTAAAATATGTCTCGTGCTGCATTGCACGGGAAAATAAAACAATTTTAGTTATAATTCTTCTAAATAACAATATTTTCGAAAATTTCTTTTAAACTATCATTGTCTTCTTGCTTTTACAATTGTTTACCTGTTACATTGAAATTCCATGAAATGGACTATATAAAACTTACTACGTATACAGTAGTTTTATGACGACAAAGCAATAGTATAAAATAAAATAAAAATATAACAGAAACGTCAATTATGTTTATATCCATAACAAACGTAGTTATGTTTATATCCATATCCACTTCGTATCCATTTCGTGAAGTCTTATTTCACCCAAGTGCCTTTTGTCAAATGATCATAAAGTTAAACTGTAAGGATCTTAAGTTTTACTAACGTTTATTTTATTTTAAATCTTTACTATCACTTCTTATTTTCTACTTCCGGCCAGAATTATAAGCGTGAAGGAGTTTATGCAAAGTTGTCTGGCGAACGCCAAGTATTTAAGTGTGGCCTTTTTGCCAAGCAGAAGAGAGGAAGCCGTGAGTTCGAAGCAGGCCGCTTACCTTAGAAGTTACGCAGTTGCTACTTTGCCTTCCAGGCCAGAGGTTTTAATCCTCTTGATAAATTAAACGTATTGTAGTGTTCACAGTCTCTGTGCTACATACGCTTCCTGTTATTATAAGGCCAATCTTATTCTAAAGTTAAATTAGAGTTTAGTTTTATTTTGATATCTTTTAAGTTAGACCCCGAGTGGAGGGTCATTGTATTCCGAAGTACGGAAGTCATTGTATATAAAGAAAAAATAAAGGGGTTTTGTATACCCTTCGTCTGTATCCTGTCTACTTACTACAATTAGTGAACATAGCTTTAGTAAGCTCTCTGTTCTAGTCAGGTCATTGTATGTTTCCGAAGAAGGTTAGAAGAAACATTGAACCTGATAGTGGCGCCCGACGAAGAATAACCATGGCCGAGTTTCAAGAAGAACCTGTGCTGCCTGCAGAAACAGGCTCAGAATCCAGAAATGCCAGCTGCCGCCCTGGAAGGATTTGGGTACATCGTCCAGACCATGCGCGCTTCGATGAAACCAGAAGCAACGTTTAATGGAAACTCACAGGTAACCAGTTTTTTGGAAAAATTGGATGACCACTTCATGCTCTACCCCGTGCACGAGTTTCAAAAAGTTACCTTAGCTACCAGCGCTTTGAGGGGCCAAGCGCTTAACTGGTTCAAATGTATCGGCAGAAGTCTCTTGGGTCAAGCAGGAAGTCCCACCTATACCTTACGAAAATTTCAAGACTGCCCTACTAAAAGCCTTCCCTGTTGTAAGGGATCGTGCGAAATTAGAAACAGAACTTTTCAGTATATATCAACAAAGAATGGAAAACCTCTCGAGTTTTATTTTAAGAAAAATTCACGTTTTCAAGCTCTTGTATGGAAACCGTCCGGATCCTGAAATAATTCAAGTGATTTTGCCGAGGTTACTACCCCAAGTGCAAGACTTTATTGAATTGAGAAATCCGACTACACTGGAAAAATTATTTGAGCTAGCAATCCAGTTTGAAAGTAGAAGAACGGCGGACGTCGAAAGAAGACGCCAATATCAACAGCGAAACCAATTTGGTACGCCAAGACTACAGCAAACTCAAGCACATGGCTACGGAGAAAAAGCGAATCAGTGGGCAAGGAAACCCGAGCATTCAAAAACAGCCGGCGAACGTCGACAGTTCAATAGCAACCCAGGAAAAAAGTCTCAAGGCCAGTGGAGAAAGAAGGAAAGCACCGAAAGGAAAAATAATTTAAACTAAAACGGATTTCTGCTGACGAGAGGGTGCGGAAATCCGAAGGCCACGAAAACCCCTCTTCCTACAAGTTAAATACAGTAATGGTGAAAAATTTAACTCTTCCGAAGATTGAAGTCTTGGTAAATAATATCCCGGCCACCGCACTCCTGGATACCGGCGCGCAGTGTTCCTGTGTGGCAGAAGTCTTTTTTAGAAAGTATTTTCGCAAATACCGCATATATAATGCGGATAATACAACAGTATTAGCGGCGCAAGGAGAACAATGTAAGTGCGTAGGTAAAGTACCTTTGTACATCCGTATCAAGGACGAACAAGTAAAGGTGATGTTTTTTATAGTAAAGAATTTGCAAGCACACTTAATACTAGGAATAGACTTTCTTTCAGACGCACAAGCTACACTGGATTTTAATGAAGCGTCTCTTAAGCTGACGATGAAACCAGTGCGTGTAGAAAAGGTTGAACCGCCAAGGTTAAATCTTGACCACCTGCCTAATGACGAGCAAGATAGAATCCGACAAGTGGTAAGTGAATTTGCTTCCTTATTTAGTGATATTCCAGGATTTACCCAGGTTACTAACCATAGTATTGACACCGGAGATGCATTGCCGGTTCGTCAAAAACCATACCG